GAAAAACATCACCTGTCTTTTTTACAAGAATTTCTGTTTTGCACCACGATCCGGGATGCCGTAGTTGCTTCCATTTTTCCCGATAATCTCGTGGGTTATCCTTTAGCTGTTTTTTCGCAGCAATCCTTAATTGCTCATGCAAAATGTACTACAAGCAGATCGGAATTGCTTAATGAATGTTCTGACCGGGCTATCCGTTCCGGTCGGCACGGAAAGTGCGGAAACGCGGTTTCGGAGCGCAAGTACGATTGCACAATTCGTCACCATCGATCAGAAATTATCATCGGTTGTAACTGAACTGTAGCCAGATCTTTGGAGCAAGAAATGGCCGGGATTTGAGCACGATCTCAACTCGATTTGCGCGATTGATACCCTTTCAGTAGAATCTCAAAACAACGTGCCATTTTTTCCGTTTTGAGAACCAATCCGAGCCCCTCAGATGAGTCATAGGTAATCGATCTTCTCGCTACAAGCCGTCCATTTTCTTGCACCAAAAAATCATGGTTGCGCCACGGATTTCACAACAGCCCTCGTATAAATGCTGGCAGGTCAACGGGGGCTGATCAAAATTTCAACTCTATTCTTCTTGTTGTTACATCATACTTTATGGAATTCCCGGATATCTCAAGTTATACGTATTACCACCGGGCTTTCCATGGCAATTTCGTCGTTTTTCGTAATTTTCGTCCATCTTATAGAGATTTTTGACTTCTCAATTCCTTTAAAATGCCTCAGGCTCACTTTGGCTACAGTTTGATACTGTTTACTTACGGCTCCGATAAATTTCTAGATAGTTTGGGGGTGCCATGCTATTTTTCTGGGTTTTTAGACTTAGACTTTAGTATAGATTAGGCTTGCTAGTGCCTTTAAAACATCCAGTAGTGGTTTGAACTACGCTTCTACAAGAAATACGACGATTTTAAAGAAATGTTACTGGATTTTCAAAGATTCCAGGGGTTTTTAAGAGATTTTTAGCCATTTCGATAGATTTAATGACATGGCTATTTTAGAATCGAACCAGGGTTGAAAAGCCGCTTCGCGGCTTTTCAACCCTGGCCCCGTCTAATCCTATGATGTTCTTTATTTTGCATAATTGTGCCTCAATTCCGATGACAAAAAAAAATGAAAAATGTTCCCTTTGGGCCTTTATATAGGCTACTGCAAGTTCCGGCGTATGCTAATCTTTTCCTAACAAAGTGGGTGGCCGAATTTTCACGAAAAACTTAATTTTAACGTAGAAAACAACATATTTTACAAAATCTGATATATGTGCAGTCATCTATAGACCATTACGCATCTAATGACGTATCAAACACCTCCTTACACCCCTCCCCTCTTGAGATATCCTCCGGACACGCTGACGGAAGTTGCATGCAAAGTGTCATACACACACACACACACACACACACACACACACACACACACACACACACACACACACACACACACACACACAGACACTATTTTTTTATATATAGTAGGATTTTATCAAATTACGATAGAAAATTGGTTTTATAGCTTTTCTTGACTTGCCAACCTCTTTAAAAAACGCCCGGAGTTAATTTCTGACCCCTGGGATCGATGAATCGACCCGATGACCCGGTTCTGGCCCCTGTTAGTCGAACACTTTAGTGCTGAATTCCCCGATAAGGCAATATCAGAGCCCTCTCCAACTATAAGGTGTAGTTTTGACGTGGTTATCTGCTATCTCGAGGCATCTTGGCATCTGCCCCCATCTGCCCAACCGAATAAATGGACGGCAAAATGAGTCATGGCCATCATTCCACCATTCCATTCCCCCACTTCACCCACAATAAACACCTTGTCTTCTCTTGGCGTTTTCTTAGGGCCATAGAATTTGGAATTGATCTATCAGGATCCCATCTTCTTGACCTTCTGAAAATTCTCCCAATTCTAATTAATTCTAGAATAATTATCAGGCCATTTAATTAAAATAAATCCTCATGAACTGTTACGTCAGCTAGGTAGACCTGTCCCTAACCGAATTTAAGGCTTTCCTTGTCCCAAAAACTTTAATTTAGCCAACATTTTGCCTAATATTTTTAATTATTGCTTTCAAACTAATCTCTATTTGTATTTTAAAGTTACTTAAGTTTCCCAAACTTGTAGTTTTGCAACTTTTTCTCTAAACAAATCTAGCCTTTTCTGAAAATTATGCTAAATTCATTTTGAAACTTTCAAGTATTCGAAATGCCATTTGCTTTTAATCGTTAAATTTTTGTTGAATGTTTATTTAAATTAAGCTGCAATTAATATTCTCAATTTTTGTAGCGCTTTATCTAAAAGATCTAGCCTTTTTCTTAAAAACGGCTCAATTTATTTTGAAAAAAAGCCATAAAATGTCCAGATTTTCCGTTTCTTGTCATTTTCCTTTTTTAATTCCTCAATTTTGTTGGATGTTGTATTTTAAATAGATTAATATTCACACAATTTTGCAGAAAAGAATGTCGGCCCCGTGCTCGTCGTCTGCCCCCGAGCCTGTCGTCACCCGTTTCGTCAAGCTCGAAAGCTCCGATGGAAAGGAATTCCAAGTTCCCCGACAAGTGGCCGGAATGTCCGGAACTGTCAACACTCTTCTGCAAGATCTCGGATTTGATGATGCCGAGACTGGAGACTCCGCCCCCATTCCGCTTCCCAATGTTGATGCCGTTACCCTCGAAAAGGTGGGTGTCACAACACCTTTAAGAAAGCTTAAAATAGCTCAAAAATGGTCTTTTTAACTTTCTAAAAATTATTTAAACTCTAAAAAATATGTATTTTTCTTCAGAATAGCCCTTAAAGATAAATGTTTTTAAAAGTTTTCAAAAAAAGATAAAATTTTTTAATTTTAGAGTTTTGTAGCTTTTTATGAATTCTAAAATAAGCTTTTTTTGTGCAGAATATGGCTTTTTGAAAAAATACTAATGCTTTAAAAAGCCTTAAAATTACTTGAATATGAAACTAATCTTCCTATAAAATTATTAAAACTCAAAAAACGGTATTTTTAAGCAAAACACTTCAAAAATCCCATCTAAATTTTAATAAATGAATATTTATCATAATTTAATTAACTAAAAAAACAAAATAAAACTACAGGTTCTAAAGTGGTGCGAATACCACAAGAACGACGCCCCGGTCGTGGAGGCTGATGACATCCGATCGAGGCGCACTGACGACATCACCCCCTGGGATCAGGAATATCTCAAGGTCGACCAGGGAACGCTCTTCCACATCATTTTGGTAGGTCACAAAAATAGTCTAATAAGTTCTAAAATATTTTCTGGCTATCAGATTAGCTTATTCACTAGGCGATTTACCTCAAAAACGAATAAGAAAATTTCTAAGTCAAAAACCTCAAGTTTTGAGCTTTTTTGGGCTAACTGGCAGCCATTTAATCGATTTTTGGCACCTTTATCTTCTTTAGAGAGTTTACTACTCAAAATACGCAAAGTTTAGCATGCTTTTTGAGCATTCTGACAGTCAGTTGACCGAATTTGAGCTTAGAATTTCCTAAATTCCTTTAAATTATCAAATCTTAAATTGCAATGCTATTTTTCGTCAGACCGGATACCAGTTTACAGTTTTTAGAAACTTCAATCTTTAAAAAACCCTAAAATTTTTTGGTAGCCTAATTTCCCAGCCAGAAAAGCCAAATTTTTGAAATTGAAATTTTGAAATTTTTTTCTTGAAAATCAGTACTAAAAAGCTCGGAATTTTTCAAAAATTTAATTTTTGAGTAATCTGCCTGCCAGAAAAACCAAATCCACCCAAAAAAAATTTAAACCTAATTAAAAAAATAACTTTTCAGGCGTCGAACTACCTGGATATCAAGGGTCTCCTGGATCTGTGCTGCAAGACAGTAGCCAATATGGTCAAGGGCAAGAAGGTCAAGGAAATTCGAACGCTCTTCAACATCAAAAATGACTGGACCGAGGAGGAAGAGGCTCAGATTATCCGCGAGAACTCCTGGTGCGAGGATTAGAGCGATTATTGAGAGATTTTTGAGCTTTCTGAAGATCCTTCTTTTTTGTGGTCTTATCGTTTTAAAAATTCCCCAAGTGTCTTGATTTTTTACCATTTGTCGCTTTTCCATTCCTGAATCTGATCAATTTGTTCTACCGGTTACTCTCCTCCCGATTTCACTTTTACTTCTTGGTGTGCCTTTTCTTGTGGAAATAAATTTTGTAAACACCCAAAAATTTGTAGAAATGACGAATATAAAATAAATACCGTAAATCAAGATGGTTAGAATTTTGTAAACACGAAATTTGAAAAAATTTTCCTGATTTTTCGTGATTTTCGATTTTTTGAAAATTTTAGTAAGGTTGGATGGACCTTACTAGACAATTTAATCAAAAAAAATTTTTATATAGAAGGAAAATAAAACTAAATACAGGAGCCTAAATTCGCAAAAAAATCTATCCAAGTTTTGAAAAATCTTAGACAATTGAATTTTTCAAAATTTCCGGATTTTGACCATTTTTGAGTCCCAAAAATTTTAAATTTGTGGCTATTGTATTTGCTTGCGATTGTTTTCAGCAAAAAATAGGCCAGAAATATTTATGTACATCTCAATACATCGACGAGACTCGTTTAATTAAAGGAGAAATGGCTTCTAGATACAATTGTGTCGATAGTAAGGCCACGTAGTCTGTAGTCTGTTGCCGGACACTTCTAGACCCTCTGAAAATGTGTATTGTTAGTCAGATAGCCGGATTAAATGGTGAAAAGCCAATTAAAGCGGTGACTATAAACTACAAAAGCGTACTATTTATTTGTCTTTGTTGAAGAGTTTGAAAGTGACCTTTCCCTCGCCTTCTCGTCGCGGGTGCGCCAAGTGATCTTCTGTTTGCTCCTTTGGTGGCACTCTACAAAAAGAAGAATTAATTTAGATAGAATAAAATGTAAAGTTAATTGCTAATTCAATCATATATAAGTAAATTTGAAAATACGAAAATTTTTGATTTTCAACCTTAGGTATTAAAGGGTTTTTCACATGTAATAAAAATTTTTTAAAAGCAGCTGTAACTTCAATAGTTTTGCTAATTACTAAATCACATTAAAACATAATTGCGCAATTGACTCACGTTTGAATCGGTGATATCTGAATTTCAAAAATTTGAAAAAATTTCGACTTTTCACGACCATCCTTTTAAAGAAGATTTAATAGCTTGATTTTAATAGGTTAATTTTACTATCTAAATATAATCGATTTACTTAGATCAAAATTTAATAAAATCGGCCAAAAACATACAATCCTTCCTTCTTGTCCATCAACGTGTCGTAGGCGTCTTTTGCTTTTCCGACACTCATGCTCACCTGAAAATCACTTCGATTATATTTTTATGGAAGAATGCACTATGACTAGAGAGCGTGAGAGAGAGATAGCGAGAGAGAGAGAGAGAGAGAGAGAGAGAGAGAGAGAAAGAGAGCGAGAGACAAGGATAGCGAGAGAGAGAGAGAGAGAGAGAGAGAGATATAGCAGGGAGAGAGAGAGAGAGAGAGAGAGAGAGAGAGAGAGAGAGAGAGAGAGAAAGAGAGCGAGAGACAAGGATAGCGAGAGAGAGAGAGAGAGAGAGAGAGAGAGATATAGCGAGAGAGAAGAGAGAGAGAGAGAGAGAGAGAGAGAGAGAGAGAGAGAGAGAGAGAGAGAGTGATGTGTAAAAGCCTAGAATGCTAACCGGCGTGGAAGCAGGGGCTGGCCTGAAATATTGATATCCCATATATCCTGCAGTCGCCACGGCAGCTCCTCCAAGAAGCAATTTTAGAGCACCGCCATTACTAAAAATAAAAATATATTTAAATTTGCTGATTTTATCAGTTTTAAGGCTTCGAAATTCTAAATTGTCATGTAAAATCGTTAATTTAACAGAAAAAACGATACTTTACAGCGAAAATTACGTATTTTCGGCCTTTTTGAAAAGGGTTATTACAAGCTGCCATCCACTGAAAGTTCTGGCACATTTTTGGGAAACTATACCCATATTTTTTTTATTAGTTAACCAGCGCCCAAAACCCGCTTCGCGGGCCTTGGGCGCTGGAATGGTGCGTTTGCATGAGAAATTTGACTTTCCGGTAGCTTGGGTCCTTCGGACCCCCCCACCACACGCGCGCGAGCAACTCGCAAGAATGAGCAAATTTGTATTTTTTCACATTATGCAAATTAGCCCTCAGGGACCCCCAAAAATGAATAAAACCGGGTTTAACTTCGTAAACTTGTATTTTATCGAAATTCTGAGAACGCCATCGGAAACAGAAGGGTCGATTCCCCCGGGTGACGGAGAATTAGGGCGTTTTATGCACGGGAAGGCCCTCAAATCGGGCCTCGAAACTGACATCCACACACACACACACACACACAAAGATACACGCCGAAATTATATAAGGTAGGATGTGGCTAAACTCTGAACTGTCAGACAAAATCGCTATTTTTCAAAGAAGAATCGAGATGTCCAGCGAAAAATATTGTATGCAATTTCTTGAGTCCAAGCTGCCAACTGGTTTTAGATTTAGAAATATTTTACGTTAGTTATTTTTTGGCGAATTTAACGCGACCAAACTCAAAACCGCTAGCCAAATTCGCAATTTTTAACAGAAACATCGAAATTTTTGGGCGGAAGTCACGATTTTTATTATTTAATAGAATTCAAGCTACAAACTGCCATCCAATGAGCTAAATTTTGCATGAAAATCAATAATTCATACCCGGGCGGTGAATTGGTGGGCGGTGGTGGTGGGGCTGCAGCGGCGGTGGCACTTTGGCTTCGGCGGGAGGCCATCTTCAGCCCGGATTTCTAAAAAATCAATAATTTCATCGATTTTAGGGCCTTACCGTAGCGTTGCGGAGCATTTTTCAGTAGTTTTTAGCGTGGGTTGCGTTTGATATCTAAGGAAATCGATGATTACATTAATGCTAGTCAACAATTGACCAGAAAACAGGAAAAGAATTTTTAAAAACTGTAAAATGAAGAAAATTCACGGATTTACTTCATAGTTAAGCAAACTGACGTACATTTGTCATTCTTAGAAGACTCAATCCCAAAATTTCACTAGGTTAAGCTGCAAACCACGCCAAAAGGCTGCTTTGACTGCCAGATTAGATGATGCAAAAGCTCTATCTTAAAAATTGGGTTAAACTTTGCCTACAAGCTACGCCAAAAGACGCAGTGACCAGCAGATGATGCAAAAAATTTAATCCGCGAAATTCACGGAATTCGACTACAAACTACGCCAAAAGTTGCATTGACTGCCGGAGTAAATGATGAAATCACTGAATCCTCAAAAATTAAGAAATTGTACCGAAAAATGAAGTGAAAGCGTTAACTGGCAACCAACTAGACTGAATCGATGCTTTTCGTCTGGTTGAGAATGGGAGGCGGTTGTTGTTGGGGGACAGAATGCACTTTTTGGGCACGCGGGGCACCCGGTAAACATGTTGACGACTGGGGAGAGAGGGGGAGAGAGCATGAGAGGTCGAGTGACGCAGAGAAAAATCGCTAAAAATCGAGAGAGAGAGAGAGAGAGAGAGAGAGAGAGAGAGAGAACGAACTCCTGGGGTTTTGTCATTTGTTGTGATAAGTATTGGTTTACTACCATGAAGGCTTTTGAGGGCCACCGTACTCAAAAATGTTTGTTTGCTCGGACTTTATTTTGTGGCTTAAGGACCAGTGAAGTCATCAGTCGCATTATGAAAATCGATAATTACCTTAGTTTGCGACTTCGATTGCAAAAAAATTTGATTTTTTGACGTTTTTTCGAGATTGAGTTGTCGATTTGTTGAATTTTGCTGTCCCTGTCCCTTTAAATTCGTCAGGTACGCCTTTTTGCGAAAGAAATGTTTAACCTGTCAGCCAATCAATTAAATCGCCCTATAAAGAGTGGATGAAGCTGGCGAAGCTACAAACTACAAGATTCCGAAAATGCACGCGTTTTCCCTGTCACAGTCCCTTTAAAAACGCAAACTGCACAATTTTTACGAATAGAAATCTTTATTCTGTGCATCAGTAAAGCCAATGAATGTGAAAATAATCAATAAAATAGGATGGAATACAAACTACAGGGCGGCTGAAGGGCCGGCAGCGGCTGTTTCGGCAAGGGCGGCCATCTAAAATTTGAATTTTTCTTGTAATTTTGATGTATTTTTGGTTTTTCTGGATGCCAATTCACCCGGTTTACGATCGAAAATACGCTTAGCTTTTCTAATTACCTTTTTCTATTGACAAAACTACCAATCCTCCCCGGTCTCTAACAATGTCGGCAGATCTTCGTCTATTTGATGTTCGGCCTGGGCGAATTTAGCATAGATTTTTTGATTAGGGTGACAGGCTCTGTACCGATATAAGGGATTTCTGCCGATATAAGGGATCACCGCCGATATAAGGGATCACGGCCGATATAAGGGATCGCTGCCGATATAAGGGATCGCTGCCGATATAAGGGATCGCTGCCGATAAAAGGGATCACCGCCGATATAAGGGATCGCAAAAAAACCCGAAAATGGCGGGTACCGATATAAGGGATCACGAAACCGGATTTCGGCCAAAATGTCGATATAAGGGATCAGAAGAAGGATTTTGCGCGATATATTATTCCATTGATGTAAAGAGCTAGTTATTTAGGTCGATTTCGAAAGAAATTACAGAGAAGTTGATAAAAACTAATGTTTTACGGAAGTATTATTCGATTTTCGGTAGACTGGTGGGGGCCGGAAGGAAGCTGACTGGAACGCCGGAGAATTGATGGCAGAGGTCGTACTAAAGCAGATAGAGGTAAGGGATCGAAATAGCTGCATCACCGAGTTAGTCCATTGGTTTAAATACCAGTCCAATAAGTCCTGGCAGAGGTTAACGCGGGAGTCGCAGAAAACTAAATAAGGTGGATGAGGGGAAAAGGAAAGGCGGAGGCACCACGATCACAAACTGGCAAAGGCATCGGATTGAATAATACTTCCGTAAAACATTAGTTTTTATCAACTTCTCTGTAATTTCTTTCGAAATTGGCCTAAATAAATAGCTTTTTACATCAATGTAATAATATATCGCGCAAAATCTTACTTCTGATCCCTTATATCGACATTTTGCCCGAAATCCGGTTTCGTGATCCCTTATATCGGTACCCGCCATTTTCGGGTTTTTTCCGATCCCTTATATCGGCGGTGATCCCTTATATCGGCGGTGATCCCTTATATCGGCCCTGATCCCTTATATCGGCGGTCCGAGACCCTGATCCCTTATATCGGCGGTGATCCCTTATATCGGCAGAAATCCCTTATATCGGTACAGAGCCGGGTGACAAGGGTGGAAATATGAACAGATATTGGCTAGAGTGGGTGTCAGAAAGCCGAATTATTGGGGTTTAAAGGGATGATGACACCAAGATTTTTCGAAAGATCAGGGGTTCTAGGTAAAATTTCGTGCTAAAAATTCAATTCGGCAGGCAGAAAAGCGTTTTTCTATTTTTGAAAGCAATTTGAAGCTTTGTTATATAGCCTAAATTCAAAAAACTTTATTTCCAGCAGTCATCATCCCTTTAAAACCCTCGAAAAAGCCAGGTGAAACCTTTCCAAAATTCCCGTAAATTACCTCTCCCGCTTTGTCAGCCGGTGGCTCCTTTATTGTGATGGCTGGTGGGACGCTAAAAATGCCTGGGGTTACGGTAGAAATAATTTTACATGCTTTTATTCATCGCCGAATCGATGGCCTCTTTCGTCTCGGGAATTGGGCCTTTATGAGCGGAGATGTCGCGCTGAAAATGAGAGCGATACTGTAGCTGGGATTTCCAAAATGCCGATTTTCCGGAACGCTGCTAATGACGGCCGGTGTATTTTGTAGCTTTCCGGAAAGATAAGAAGCAGATTTTCCCGAATGCGGGGAAGAAAATATTGCAAATAGCGTTTTTCGCTTTTTCGGAAAACTGCTACTGACGGTCGGTGGAATTTCTAGCTTTCCGGAAAAGCGAAAATCCGCAAAAAATACCATAGGGGGTACGGTACTACACAGGACTACGGTAGATATTTATTTATTCTAAACAACAACACTACGAAGTACAACAAATGACAGACGAAGCGAGAGAGAGACCAAATGAGAGAGAGAGGGAGAGAGAGACAGAAAGAGAGACAGAGAGAGAGACAGAGAGAGAGAGACAGAGAGACAGAGAGAGAGAGAATGAGAGAGAGAATCATTAGAAATGCCCATTTTTCTACAGTAACCCGTCTCACGGTAGCGAATTAAAGCTAAAAAAAAATTTTACAAAAGTTTTCACAAGTTAAATTTTCGAAAATTATCTTTTTAGTTTTTTGTAAGCTTTAACTGAATTTTTCGTATGTTTAGGTGTCACGATCCCTTTAGGGAAGAGATGAGATGAAAATGGAATGTTTCAAGAATAAAAGAAACATTAATAGAATGGCGAAAGCGAGATATTTGGAGGCGAAATGAGAAGAAAAGACTTCATTAAAAAACGGCGGTATCCGTACCCTATATTGTCTCAATTGTTGACCCCTCAAATATCCATATCCAAAGTAGCCGGCTGTACTCACGGCTGCCGCGCCCAACAGGAATTTCCCCGTATCGGAGCTGAAAAATTGAAAACTGAACATTTTAAAGGAACTTGAAAACCGGACAAAATTTTTAAATTTTAGCAGTTTAAATAGGTTGTTCCAATCGCTAGCTAAAATTAAGGTACCAAAATCTATATAATTTCAAAAACACAAAAGTGCCGCATTTAAAGAAAAAAAAATTAAGATACTCTTCGTGTAACTAAATAGCGCTTCCAAAAATATTTTCAAAGTTGAGAAAAAAATCACTAGAGCTTAAGCTGTTTAATTTAAAGACTTTAAGACGTCTAAAATTAAAAGAATTTTTGATTTAAACCCACATCATTGGCATTTTTCCCCCAGGCGGTGTCGTTCCTAGCCCGGGCATCGCATCCACCGCTTTCGTCGTTTTATGCAAATTTCGGACGGCGGGTAGGATTTGAGATTTCTGACGGAATTATTTAATTTATTGGATGTCAGTTTGCTTACCGAAGCTGCTCGCAGCATTTTTGACGTTTTGAATTTTCTAAAAAAATTAATTTGCGACAAACCCCGATCCAAAAATAGGTAAAAATGGCCAATTGGCAACCAGTTAGCTGAAAAATTCAAAGAAAAAGCTTTAGAAAGAATGATTTATTGCACTACAGCACTCAAAAATCCCGTATATACAGCGTAATAACTCTTAGTACAAAACTATACAAAAGACCGAATAGTCTATACAGTAGCTACTGTATGAATAGCTTATTCATTCGGAGCGGTCTGGACGGTTTTCTGCTCTTCACGGCCCTGGGCTTTTGCACGCTCAAGGCGATTTCCGGAAGCCTGAAATCGGATTTTGGGAAAATATTGATTGGAAATTCGGAACTGGTAGACAGATAGATGAATAAATTTAAAAACGACTAAATTAGCATCCAGGTAGACGTATAGGACGAGGGAATGGAAGTCAGATAGACGAATTGACAGACAGACACAGCGGCATACATACAAACAGATAAACTGACAGACAGACAGGCGCATAAAGTGCTAAAGCCATTGTAAAACGAAAAATGGCTGAATCGGCATCCAGTTAAAATGCTAGAACGGTCGATTAACGGACAGATAGACAAACGGACCGACCAACAGACAAACTGATGTATAGCTGACGAATAAAAATGTTGAAAAGCTCTTGAAACAAAAATGGTGAAGCTATCTGTGAAGATAACAATGGATTGTGAGACATATAGACATGTAGATGTAACAAGTGACAGACAGACGGACAGATAGACAAACTGTCAGACAAACATACTGACAGACGCACCAATACTCTAAAAAAACGTACCGATTGCCTCCCAGGGCGATAGTAAGCATATGCTCCTCCTCCAGCTACTGTAGCGGCCAACAGACCGAAAAGGAGACCGTTTTCCTTACTAAAAAGTTATGTTTGATTTTAAAAATTATGAAAGATGTTATTTACTTCATTTTAGCTTTTTAAGAAATGAAAAAGGTGGGTTGCGCTGGATTTTTGCTTTTCCGGGCCCCTCGAACACCAAAAAATTCAATTTTTATAAAACCTTGAGAAAAATGGAATTACGGGGATTTTAATTTAAAATTTATTAGATTTAATGAAAATTTAGAGCCAACCTCCTCATGGGGGCATTGTAGCTGAACATTTTATCGGTGGTGCTGGCTGCATTTCGGAAAGTCCCCGTAACAACTTTTCTCTAAAAACTGCAAAATTCTAAAGACGGCATTTTAACGTACCACTGGCAACATTTTCGGATGATTTTTTGGTTTCTAAAGGTATGTAATTCCTTAAAATTAAAATCAAGGCTAAATATGCGGAAATTCCATGGTTTTCAACCAATTCATATGGGATCTCGTTGCAGCGATATTCGAAAATAACTCGTTTATTCTCATGGAATGCCAAAAGTGGATACGGTAATTACATTTCTATACAATTTTTATGCAAATTGATTGTCATTATTGGTATGGTGAATGGTCGATCGATTCACTCTCTCACTGCTTACATTCGGGGAGCCTGAAAAAGGTGATTGAAGAATTTACAGTATCAATTACAGTAGAAATTGAAATTTTATTTTTTGTAAGCTTAAATTAGCGGTAATTATTTAATTGATTTTAGAAATATTTTTATAAAAATAGCCATGGAAAGGAGAATTCCGCGCCTGGACAGTGCTAAAAAACTAAAAAGACCATTAAAAAAATCGCATTTTTCGAGAATTTTGGGTTTTCTCAAGTGATTTCTGCTAGCCTGCCCTCCAGTTAAAGTTTGTGATAGTTTTTTACCAAATAATTATCGGTATTTTTGCAAAAAAAATTTTAAAAAAGTGATTTTGAGGCCCCCAAATTCCTCGTGTCCTCCCCCTTCAATCAAAAAAACCCCAAGAATCTCCGCTACGCACCGCTCCCTGGTTGGGTGTATTTGCATTCTGCTGCTGTTGTCGGCTGACATTCTGGCCAGTCTTTTCTTTCTGAGCATTCTGGAAATGGTCAATCTTTGCAGCAGCGTTGGGGCAATTCTGAGCTCAAAAAAGCTAAAAACGCCAAAAAACCCTACTAATTTTGAATTTTTCGAACATTTCGACCCTTTCCCAATGATCCCCGCTAGCCTGGCGTTTAGCTAGTAGTTTTGGATGGTTTATACTAATTATTTATCGGTTATTTCCGATAAAATGACAAAATTTGGATTTTCTGGCGCGGAATTCCCCGTGTCACGCTCCCTTTAGACCCCAAATTCCTCAAAAATCTCGGCTACGTACCGGTCCCTGGTTAGTGGGTGTTGCTGCATTCTGGCCCTTCTGGCCAGCCTTGCATGAACTTTTGGGCATTCTGAGCGGCATCGAGTCCCTCCTTCTGGCCATGCTCCTTCGACTCCTCCTTCTCCTTGTGGAGCTT